CAGAAGAAGCTAGTTTTTGTATTGCCCAATTAATAGCTAAAAAAAAATCTTATTAATTGCCGATAAATGATAATTTTTCATCGCTGGAATTTTAAAATGTTTTGTTGGGTGAGGAATCCATTTAATCCTAGATTAGAAACCTTACATATTTTACTAAAAGGGAAAGAAGAACTTGCAGGATTAATAAACGATCGCACTGTTCAAATGAAGTTTAATGAGCTCGGGCTAGGCGAATATTGGATTTACACAAAAAAAGTATATCTGAGTTTAACAAAATCGGCACTTTCCGTGTCATTACCATTTTTAACTTCATATTTGTGCGAGATAGCTTTTTCTGCACTGAATGAAATTAAAAACAAAAAAAAAGAAAGATTAATTAATGTCGAAGAAGAGTTAAGAGTAGCCTTGTCGAAGATTTTACCACGTATTGATACTGTTCAGGCACGCCATCGTTTTAAAAATGCGCGCCAAACGCGTGTCATTTTCGCCATGAGCTTCCCGAAGCTTCGAGAAGTTTCGTGGCGCGCTCTCTCCCACATGCCCCGTCAAAAGAGGACCGGTTCGGCCAACGAGCGCCGCCTTTGTGGCGCGTGTTCTTTTTGCCTTTTATTGCCTCGCGCGAAAAAACAGCCGTTCAGTTCATTCGTGTGCGTCGTCGAGTGAATCTCGTTGTGTGAGCCTCAGCGTGGTGCCTTGCGCGTTGGCATACGCTAGTGGCAGTGTTATTTTTTTATTCGAATTTAACGCAGTTAGTGCTTCCTTTTTCTTGTGATCCGCCATCGATCACGAAGTTGTACCCGGAACCTATTCCCGTTTGTCCCTGCTATTGCGGATCGACCGTATATTTGAGTTCCCGTCGCACGTGTCGAGTTATCCACGGTCGCGTGGGATATAATCCACCGGGACTCAAATATATCGAGGTACTTATCGATCGAGCTGTGCCTCCCCTATTTTTGTTTTATTATTAAAATTGTAATGCTGAATTTATTATTCTTATGTATTATTAAATTATTATTATCGGTGTAAGGGCGCACAATTACACATTATTTTTATATTGTAATATAACGATTTATATAGCGATTTCAGTATTGATAACCTAACCTGTTTGTAAGACTTTTTTTGACGGGAGCCGTTTGGGAAGCGACGCGGATTTTTGGGACTTTCAGATAATCTGGATTTATTTCACTTCACTAATACCTATTGTATTTGATATGACTGTATACTCACCGATGCTCATCCCGCAGATACCGACACCAATGTTTATTAGGATAATTAGTAATAAAGAACTACGCCAGATAATATCCAGGAAAAATTCGACCAAAAAAAAGAAAGAAAATGCTTGAAGTATTGAAAATATTGAATGTGTGATAAAAAAACTCAATATAATTTCATAAATCGTTACTCCTGAAATGTTAGTTATTTAATTAAAATAAAATATTTAGTACATTTTAATTGTTCATACATACCTGCAACTATATTTCTCATCATATATCCATTTTGAATTTCTCTATTTATCCATAAGGCAGAATAGAACATTGTTGATGAAAATATGGCACTACAATCATAAACATTAATGAGCGTAAAATATGCAAGGGAATGTTGTATAAGATATCATATGTTAGAATGAAAAAAGGTAATTTGGTGAGTTGATCATGTAATTTGAAAAAAATTGAAATAAATAATAAGTTAATGCAATCAAATAATTCGGGGTGAGTTTCGGTGTATTATTAATATAAAAAAGATACACAGTTTCTTGTGAAAGACTTATTCATTTCTATACCTCCGACTGTGACAATGGAAATACTTAAATATTGATTTTTTTTTTTTTATAAATCACATGATAAAAGATGACTTAAAAATATAATGATCCGATCAAATCTTTATAAATGTGTACCACTTTATATACACTAGATAAAATTCCTTAAGTTCAGTTTATTACTAAATCATAAAACACAGATTTACTTATTCGTTCGAAAAAATATATACGTTTGTATGCCTAAATTAAATATTATTATTTTCGATTTCAGACTCAATTTTTAATTTAAATTTGAAAAATAGTAACATTTATTATTACACAGGTTTATAGAGTTACTACTAAAAGAATTATTTACAGAAAAATGATTTTTTTGAAAACAAATTGTTTTTATTATTCTGAATCCGAAGAAGTTTATATATATATATATGTTTGATATTACACCCAATTGTATCAGACATCAGTCGTTTCCGCCAAAACTGAAATGTTCGATTTTCATTTCTACCAAGTCTAATTCTATACAACTATATTAATTATAGTTTGAGAACCATTTAGAGTTACCCGGGGGGGTCACCACGTAGAGGCGGTTCTTATTGATCCCCCAAAAAATTATTTGACTTAATTTTCGGATTCATATTTTTGAATTTCAATTGAATTTTATAACTTTAATGTTTTTATATTCTTTTATTGCGTTTGTTATATTTATTAATTGTTTATTTTATATTACATCTAACAGAATAATTTATAAAAAATATATATATAAGTAAATATAAATTCTAATATATTCAATAAATACGTTTATTATTCAGTGAATATTATTCACGATTCACACTGCTATGTTGTCACAGTACTGACATATTCGATCATTAATTTTTTTTGATATATATCGATAATCGATAGAACTGCAGATAAACAAGGGGTTCTCAAACGCCATCACAATAATATAAGTAGAAATAGATTTGGCGGAAACGAAAATCGAACCTTTTCGTTTTGGCGGAAACGATGACCGCCTATTGTATCATATGTTTATCAGCTTACCATGATATTATTCCGGATACAGTATTTTCTGTAGGATTTAAATTTGCATACTCATAAACCTGAAATATACACATATATTTTAACTTGAATATATAACTTTGAATTATAGCGAAATGGATTTATATTTATTTTAAAAATTGTAACCTTAATTGGGATATTGGCGTAATTTGTTGATAGATTGTAATAGCTATATATATCAGCCAGATGTAATTGATGAGAATTGAATAACTGTTGTTTGAAATGTTCTTGAAATTCATATGCTGAGAAAATCCATTAAGTATTATTGAAATTTTCTTAAATAGTTTTACCATTAAATTTTTTTTACTCGTCATGTCTATTTCTATATTGATTCCAGATATTGAGAATGTATCAGGTTCTTTAACTATAATTTTTTTTGCCATGAATTGAATTATTGTATTCGTGTAGTTTTGTGGAACTCTCATAAAGCCCATAGTGAATCTCTTTTTGACTGAATCTTTGGCCAAGTACTCTAAACTATAATATTTCTATAATAATAACAAAACTGTTTGTTATGCAAATGTTTTAATTTTATATGCATTTCACTCACTAATTTTATCTTGTTTTTGTCTAAAACGTTTAATAGATGGCACGAATAGTAATTACAGTCTTTTATATTTTCACATTTGTTTTCAATACAATCAGTTTCTCTATTATAGATTGCAATAGGCAAAATGCTTGGATATTTTCCATAACAAATACAGTGCATTATTACTTGAAGTCCAGGAATAATGCAAAGTAAGAGGATCATCCTGAAATTTTATTTTTTTCGTGAGCAAGGGTATTCAATAATTATATTATTAGTAAAAACTAAAACCAGTAAAGTTTAAAAGTAGTAGGATTTGTTTGTTTTTCTATGTGATTTTTCTATTTTTTATTTATAGCCGACAAAGTTAGATATCTATAATGACATATTTAAAAATCGATTTTGCATACGTTGCAATTTCAAATGAAAAATGTATATTTCTTAATTTTGTACAAAAAATCTATATTTGTATGCGTATTTAATGTATGTAGAGAAAAAATTGACGGTTTTTGATTATTATGTACAGGAGATACTACTTTAGATTATTATTTAGTTTTATAATTATGTATTAGTATTTATTTTATAAGGTACATGAAATTGTAATTTTATTTTTATATGTAATATGAATGATAATTCTAAAATGTTTCTTAGAAGCTTATTTAGCTTAAGACCAAAGATAGTTTAAACATTTCATACCAAGAACATGTCCAAAACATTTAAAATTAAAAAAATTCTTAAATTAGTTTATAGAAGTACTTATATGTGAATTTTTTAATTTGTTGCATCAATTTATTATTTATTCGTAGTATGGATACTTTTTATACTTAATTTTTTTTGCACATTATACTTTTTTCAATGTTTATTTTAGAATTTTTATTTTATATAATACGACTAGGTATATATATTTAGTCTTATTTAGCTCTTATAATGTCCAAGTCCAAATAGTTATGTACCTATACACAATATTTTTGTTAAATGTATATTAAATGTATTAAAAATATGTATAAACTTGTATTATAGTCAGAGTCGATGTTCAAATAAAAATTAAGAGTATAAACACACTTAAACTGTTATAATAATTATTTTTTATTTAATTTGTGTACAAATAGATAAATTTCAACAATTTGGATTTGAGGGTCAGTCAATCATTTTTCAAAAAAAAGTGTTAAAAATTTGATGTATAACAAGGTAGTGTAAGAATAATAAAAGTAATGTATACACATATTTCTATTAAATTAGTAAAAGAGAAAACATTGAGGAATTATTATTAAAATTGTTTACAGATTTTAGATAGACAACAAAAATATTGGATAGGATTTTACTCTTATAAGCCATCTCGCATTTTATGTATGTTATTAAATGATAAAATGATAAAAATGATAAAACATACCATACATTTTTGGTTATAAATTTCATTTTATTGAAAATTAAAGTTTGCAGTTTCCAAATATCTGATCTTGGCTTGATTTTCTTACAAAGGGTTAACTAAAAATATAAAAAAAGCATGTACAAATTTATTAGTTAAGTAAAATTTTGTAAAATTTCTAGTAAGTAAAATTACTATACAGTATATAAAATCAAGATGATCGTCTACATGGAAAATACTTTTACTTCATAATTTTTACAAACTATTCAATCTAATACAAATATAAAAAAATATGAAATAAGAAGTTACGATTTTTTTTTTTGATAAATTAAATAAAAATCAAATCAAATAAAGTAAAGACTATGATGACTGTGTGATAATTATACATGAGGTTTTTATTGATTAAAATTTATTTCTTTGAAAATTGTTAACTTTATCGTGTTTTATGAATTAATTAATTAACTCTTTAAAGAATTGAACTTATTTATAGCAATTATTATAATAATGATCAATAGATTTTTGGACTATGGTTCTTATTACAGTTAGTCAAAAATGTCAACTGTAAATTGCTATCAATTTTTTTTTTTTGTATGTGATTAAATATGAATTGTTATTTGTAAATATATAATTTAACATCTACAACAAAAACGTTGCGAGTGCAAATGAGAGACAGGATTAATTTTTTTATACAAATAATAATATTTACAATTGCAAATATTTACATTGAGTTTAGCTGAAATTAAATATTCATTAAATATGTTAATATAAGCCACATTTTTCAGTGCCAGGATTCTTATCGGAATTATTAATATCTACGTACGTTGTTTGTATTTAACTGTGTATTTTGTTAAATGATGGAATGAATTATTTTTAATTAATTTATTTTATAACTTTATATTAATAAAAGAGTTGTAAAATAACCAATCAATTCAATTTTATTGAATTATAGCCATGAATGATTATTAATAAAAATCAGTGATTTATACATTATACTTTCATAAGTAAAACAACTGATACAGCTATGTGTATTTTTTTAGAGTATAATTGGTGTATTTATATCAGTTATACATCATTACTTATAATTAGGTATACTAATGTTGAATAGGATTAGAGAAATGTATACTATAATATATACTTTAATGTAAACTAGGGCCTTGCATCGGAATCATTTATTTGGGTTGCGGCTGTTGAAAGAAAATTTTGGTTATTGAATTTGGATGTTTCTGGTTAATGAACTTTTCTGGTTACGGTTAGATGTAAATTTATTTTTTAATCCTTAGTGACTCCCTAAGCGCTATAAAGAACATTCAAAACAAAAACAACCCAAATGACATCTCAGTCCTCATCCAAAACCAACTAGATGAAGCCAAAACAAATAAAAAACAAATATCAATAATTTGAATCCCCGGACATACCGGCATCGCAGGGAATGAAATAGCGGACAAATACGCTAAACTTGCCGCATCTAACAAAAACACAACCAAACTAAATATATCCTCATACGATGACATCAAAAAGGCAGTCAAAACACAAATAAAAAAAAAATGGCATATACTCTGGAACGATCAAGACACAAAACTAAACCAGATAAAAAGAACAACATTCAGTTGGGAAAACCATGAATTTAACCGAAAAGAAGAAATCACTATAAATCGACTCAGAATTGGGCACTCCAGATTAACACATGGATACCTCATGGCAAAAGAAGAACCCCTTACATGCGAAGGATGTGGGACCCCCCCTTACTATCAAACATATACTAACGGAATGCCAACTATATCAACAGGAACGAATAAACCTCAATATTACAGAAACACTTGATTCACTACTCGGTCCGGATCCCGATCAAAACAGGAAAATACTTAATTTTTTAAAATCAACTAATTTAATAGACCAAATATAATGTAAATGTAAATGTAAATACAATTATGTAACAAAGTATCACAAAAAAAAAAAAAACTGTAACTAATGGCCTAAGATGCCGGGTTGTAATAAATAGATCAATAAAAAAAAAAAATTTATTTTTGTTAATTATGGTTAATTCTGGTGTTACAAAATTCATGTTTCGTATCAATTAACCTGAGATTTAACTGATTTTGAATATACGAGTTTTAGGTTATTCGGATTAATGCTGGCTTCGGTTTTCAGGTTACGGATTACGTTCGGGTGCAAAGCCCTGATGTACATATACTATAATATATTATTTTTAATTTTAATGGAAATATTTGTGTAATTCCTTAGAATTCATATTAAACATTTTTAACGTAATAAATATTTAACCTTAGTCATTATTATTATGGCCTTTTTAACAATAAAAGAAGAAAGAATAATTATAAATAAAGGTATAATGTGACGTGCATAATATATATATATATATATTTATATTATTATATTTATTATTATTATTATTTATTATATTTATAATATAATTTGTAGATATTTCATAATATGGAAGAATACATTTAGAAAATTTCATGGAACTTCTGATTTCAGTAAATAATAAAAATTATATATATTTTTTATATTTTATTATATAAAAATATCAAAATCAGTCTGGTGTTGACCGACAATGCGGTCGCATATCATTGAGATTGAATTTTACCCGTTCAGTTATTGTGATTTTAATTATGTAATCAGTTCACGGTATTATATTTATGAATGTGCCTTTATTTTTAGATGGATAACATATACTCTCTACTTACTACAAAACCCAAATAGCCATTATTACCTAATTCTCCTATCCATGCGAGGAAAAACACCAAATCATTAGTTTCACCTAATCGTTTTGCTGTCTTGGCGAATGAATTTGTGACATTCCTAATGCAATCAACAAATAAATTGTTTACCATCAATATTACAACATCAGAGCTTCACCAATATATGTTAAAAACATTAATAACTTCTTCGCTTTCAAAAATACGTTAGTACAAATCACCATTCCTGACGGGTTCTAGTGTAAGTCATCGTTTTCTATTTTGATTGTTCGCCCTTATGGATGTCTAAATTTTAATGAAACGAAAAACCTAATAGCCACTAGTAATTATTTTTATATTTTCATATCACCAACATATTGACCTTTCAATGTTGTATCAGAAATTTTTACCAACCAATACTCCTATTTAATATATCAGATGTCCTATTAAAATTAGGTCATTCCGCCAAAAGTGTTACGAATGTTATTAAAAATGGCCATCATGCTTTCGCTATTTCCCGTGGAGCTTAATCCAAATACAAACAATAAAGAAATTCTTAATGTGTCATCAATGTTGTATACCAAAATTAAAGTTAAATTACTCTATGGGGACATTAGTGGTCTACCTCAATGTCGAAACTATTACGAACACACTGTTCAGTATTGCCAACTCTTCACGTTATGTTAAATGTGAAAGAGATCATTCCTCAGACACTTGCACCAAAGAAAAAGCAGTTCTCAACTAAGTGCACCCTTTACACGGGTGATCATACTCCTAACTGTAAAGGTTTTCTAAAATATAAATTAATTTTTTATTATCTGTTATTTGTGAACTCTAATAGGTAATCGACTCATATTTAATTAAGTTAATTTTATTGTTATCTTTATTATTATTATTTGTATTATGTTTCACTAATATTATTTTATGATTATGATTATGATTATGATATTGATATTATAATGTTATAATCAGGTAGTGTCGTACATGGGTGATTTCTGTCCTCATGTTTTTGTTCATTGTTATCCAGTGGCGTGCCGAATATAGGTCTAAATGATGCCCAGGCATCAAGTTAAAAAGAGGTGGGTGGTTGTTGGATAATAATATGTATATAATATATGTATAATAATAATATGAATTTAAATATGGGTGGGTGGGTGGTAAACTAGACTTTGCAATTCCCATCAAAAACATTTTTATCTCGGCACGCCACTGTTGTTATCTTTACATATTGTTAACGTTTTATATTAGTTGGTCTTAACTCTCCTCAACTATTTTTATTTATTATTTTCAGTAATTGCAATATTACTTATCATTTTTATCTATTTTGTTTATTTTATAATCTTTTGCTTATTGTTATTCCATGTATTAATTATGTATATTTAATATTTTAATTGTTTACCTGTAATAGTTTTTATTAAAAGTTCTGAAATAGAAAAATGTAATAAAATTAAATATCAAAACCTCGATTCGTTTACGAGTATATTATCTTTTATAAATAACCAGCATATACTATTCAAATGATTCTAAAATGGATCAAATACTACATTATATAGAGTTGTAGTAAATAGTTAAAATAAAATAATTAGTAAATTGTAATTATAAATTAATATGCTACTAGCATATGTTAAGTATTTTATAATTATTATTTAGTCATTATTTCATTAAACAAACTTTGTACAACTCTTTTTGGTCTTATTAGTGGAACATTTTTTACATTAAAAAAAGTTGATGACGTACTTAATATTGAAAAGTTTCTATTGAATCTATTTCGTATTCTCATGCGCTACTATACATTTTTTAATGAAAATAAGAAAATAATTATAACGCAAGTAATCACTAACCTGAATTATCTATAATGTTGTGTAATGAAATTACCTTTTTTTTATTACGTGATATCGCAATTAGTTTTTCATTGATCGATGCATTTTCCTAAATTGAAATCGAACAATTATTATGTACCAAATATACAACTTTTTTAAAATAATATTTAGACAATCAGTGGTGTATTTTCAAATTTTTTTGTGGTTATATTTGTTTTAAAAAAAAAATTATTTTATTTTATTATATATATATATATATATATATATATAAGGTGTGAAATAATAATTATATTATTTTATTATTATTAAAAATACAAATGAAGAATTTATTACAATCATATGACATAAATAAATGTTCTTTTCTCTGTACTTTTATATTCAGTTATGGGTGGGTCGATACCCCCTCCCTAAGTAGGTCAATGGTCCATACTAAAATAATAAAATTATTTGACAGTAAAATAAAAATATTTACATCCAAATCAGACATTGAGTTGTTGCACAGGTCTTCTATGATGATATTTATCGGTTTATTTGGTATCAAATTTTGTAACTCTTCTATTTCTTTTTCAAAAATAATTTTTCCATTTTTAATATACGCTATCCATAATATGAAATAAAAATTATCATTTAGAGTTTCAACATAATTAAATTATATAAGCTAATAATATTGATATGGTAGATACTTTTGTAGCTAAAAAGGCTTCTTTGATACTATTAGTTGCTATAATCACCGTTGGTTTCCACGTATTACATAAGTGATTCAAGTATTTCCAAATTCTGTAAACATAAACATTTTATGTTGCGTTAAGGTTTGTTTTACGTAAAATATATACTAACTTGTGTTGTTTAAAAAAATCGAGTCCTACAGTAGGCTCATCTAATACCAGTAATCGAGGTCTGTGATATACTGATAGTAAAAACGATACTAATCGTTTTTGACTGAAGCTGTTGGTATATGATAAAATCATAAGTTACAATTAACTATTAACAATAATATAACACTATAACATTAATAAGTACCTTAAGTCCTCAATAGAAATATTCGTTGGTGGCAGTGTAAAGATATCGTTGTAATAATTTAATCGCCATTGAGTAAATGTAAATCCATCATAAATATTATATAATTGACTGAAATAGTTAAACAATTCTAAAATCGTCATATTATTATACATGCAAATTTCCTAAAAAAAAAATTTTGGTATTTCAGTAATGTCACTATAGTTATTATCGTTATTGATTCGTTTTTTCATTTCCAAAAGGTACAAGAAAAAAAATTGAATAAAATTTAAATGTTTGTGACTAATATAATATCAGTTATACGAGTACAACTGAGTACAATACATAATAATAAGATTATTGTAACCAATTTAAATGAATAGTTAAATAATGTATTGTAATATAGTTCATAAGAACATCATCAAATTAATACCTGCGGCATATAACCGACTGTTGAGGTTAAAGCTTTGCTGTTCTTTGTTCTTGGTTGACCCCCAAGAACCCATATTTCTCCTTTGTCAATCTTATCTAGACCAACTATACAAGACAGCAGCACCGACTTACCACTTTTCATTCCACCAAGTATAGCACATCTAAAAAAAATGTTTGTAATAAGAACAAATTAAAAATTAATTAACTAAGATAATAAATGGAGTTTATAGAATTTAAGATTCAAGAAATTTTAATTACATTTTACCACTATATGCAATTAAATTCACTCCATTTAAAATCGTTTCATTGTTGTGTGTTTTGACTATATTAGATAATACTACAGAACACTTTGAAGGACGTTGAGATATGACAACAGATCGTTTGAAACGATTTTCCATTTTTCAACTACTAGTGAAAAACTGAAGAAGAAAAAAAATAAATATTTTAAGACTTTATTAGAAATTAAAACTCAATACACGTTTTAAATCACTATGGTTTTGTATGTTATTAAATAACTGTTTTACGATACGATTGTTACACGATATAATCCGTGCACTTAAAAGAGCATACTGACCAAAGTAATGTGTACTTACAGCGTGTACCTACCTTAATCTTTTCAGTAAAATATTTGAAAACAAATTCAATACTTACCTACGTGTATATTGTATACCTATTATGTGTAATAACATTATTACATTAAAATTGATATTATTCTTACTTTTATATTTGGTGGCCCACTTTAAGAAAATTGTTTACCAAGTGGTCTGCCAAAGAAAATAGGTTGGACATCACTGATATACTCGTATGGTGTTGCGTTGCTTCCAATAAGTAATACATAGTCATCCTGAACACCGTTGGGTCATAATAAAGCCATTGATGATCTATCAAATAACTTTGCTATTACAATTGATTAACTTTTTCCAACACCTCGAATGTCAACAACATAATTTTTTCAGGACAATCAATTTCTAGTGTACAATTTATTACATTAGTTATATAATTTCCATTGCTGTCGGTTGTCTCAACAATTGATACCCATATTTTTTCTTCGGGACAGTGGAAATATTACTATTATTATTGGACATTTTATCTATTATCTGGTTACAAATATCGTTTACGTAATATTTTTGAAGTGCTGACGAATCGGGCACATATTTTTGTATATATATTGTATATATATATATATATGTTTTTTTAGTTTATAAAGTGATATATTTGCAGATAGTAGAGTTTTATATAAATATGAATTGAATCCCGATAGTCTTGTGTTACGATTTGTAACCAATTGTTGCACATTATTGTTTTTTTTTTTTTGTTTTCTATACGTGCTGTGATGTGTCAGTTTTATCAGTTTTTAGTTGTTGTATGACACTAAAATGTTTTTTACATGCTACTTTCACGTTACAGATTTTACAAAATAAAACACAATTATTGTTGAAAATACAGATTCACCAAACTCGATTACAAAATAAGCTTTTGTCAACTTTTCTTTTGGTTTATTGGTATAGTTACTACAAAAATTAAACACATAATAAAACGTAATACACACGGGGCGAATGTTCTAGAATGTTCTAGATTATTTTACTACATATAATTTGTTATACAGAAATTCAAAAATAAACGTAATAAATAATTTGATTTCACTTTATTGTGTTTTCAAAACATCATACTATCGAAGACATAGAGTAGAAAATATCAATTATGAAAGGAGGTTGATTATTAGAGATTAAGGTAAGAATTATTTTTATTCTTACCTATTTATTTACTAAAATTTATAATAATTATAAATAATAAATATTGTAAAACTGTTGTTAATCAGGTTTGGGAATTATTTAAATAAAACGTTAGGTATTCAAATAAATATTAGGATAAAATACTACTCTTTATTTATTTGTTTTTATTTGATTATTCTTGATTATTTTATAACTTTTATTTTTACAGATCTTCATTTATTCATTATTCAAAACAACTTTTTATGATATTTTATTCGTTTATTGGTTATTTGTAATACAATTATTCACATAATTATATTTAACTTGAGAGTTTACATTTCTTTTTTTTTTAATTTCATTTTTTTCAGGGAATATCCCGAGTGCGTCTCAAAAAGTACTTTTTTTAATGTTATAAGCATGTCCACAAAAAGGCATCGCCCGAATGCGTCTCAAAAAAATTTTTTTTTTTTACAGCCTGAATGCGTCCCAGTTCATTTAGAGTTATGCGGGATGCACCAAGAGGAGTTGAACTGGTTTACACCTCAAAAATGTTTATTTTCAAATATTTATATTAAAATTATATTATATCGTTTATTTAACTTACACCGAATAATTGTAGGTGAGCGTCTTAGTATTTTTTTATAGTCATATAAATTACATTTTTACTTTTTATATTGTGGTTGATGTTTAAAAGCCATATTTTTTTCAAAATCTATCCTTGAAATTTGGTTATTCTTAAATTTAATAATATTTTCTTATAATATGACGATTGATCAACGTCACCATGGTGACTATACATGGAGCTATAGTTGGAGTTAAGGGTAAAAAGGTTAGACAACTTTAGGAAATCTTTAACGTTCAAATTACATTTCCCAGTCCGGGTAATTAATAATATTAATAAATTTGTTTTTTGCGTTTTGTTTATTTATGTTTGGTTCAATATAATAATCAGGGCTAAAAAAAATTTAGTCAAAATACAAAGTTCGTGATAAAATTAATGTTGAAGAAGCGAAACGTAAAATTTAAGAAATTGTTAAAGACTTGGTTAGTGTTGAATTTTCAAATATTTTTTTGTCAAATAATGTATAACGTTTTGATAAGAAAATGTGATTTATTAGTAGATACGACAAGGAATTTAGATGTTTGAATTAAGTTCCCTAAAAGTCTACCGGGTATTTTTTTTTATATTTATATTGCATTAGGATTATAATAAATTTTAAAATAGATATTGTTATAAAAAGCAGTCTATAAAATAATTAAATTGTAAAACGATTCGTTATAGCCAAGAGTGTTTATTTAATTTTAAGTACGCTATTGGATATGTGAAACAGTACTACTGAGTCGTAGAGCGAAAATTCAACTTGATTCGATTATAACATGATGAATACGACAGTTTTAATGAGAACAATTATTATTAAGGCTAAAGTTTAAATTTCAAGGAAATTAAAATTATTTTTGATCTTGAAAATACGACAATATTATACGTGAAGCATTTAGTAACAATAATTATAATGAAACGTATGAACTTTAAAAAACTCGGATTTTCGATAAAAATTGTGTCATGTCAAATTTAAAAAAAACCATCATAAGCTTGTATTGACTATCATCGCTGTTTTGTAGCATATATTTATTTATTTATTATTATTTTATAGTTTATTTTATCACTTATAACTTAATAGTCGTACAAAACATTGAATTTTTCTCGTATATAATTTACAAAAGCCACTGGACAATATCAATTGTGTATTCTTAAATTGTAATCCGTGTCGTTAATATGATAAGCAAATTCATAACAATTCAACGTGTTACCACGGTGAATCACACATTTATTAGATAATTCGAAGTGAACGTATTCCACCGTCAACCACAAATCGTAATCGTATTGTGTCGATTTATTATTAAGTTTTATTACAGAAAATTAGAAGAAAAAATGGAATCGGTGACTAACATGAAGATTTCCTCAGAGGCAAGTTCGACGGATTTATCTTGTAGCGATGAACATGTACTAGACGTATCATTTCAGATTAAGAATTCGTCGACCGACGAGAAGAAGACGCGTTGTACAGCGATCAACGGACGATCAACGGCGATCGATTCGGAAAAAATCGGCTCAAGTCGGATGCCCACCGTTACGGTGGCAATGAAACCGGTGGTCGGTGGTGGATGTCGCTCGGTGACGGTGGACAAGACGACCGGAGCGAACGGCAAGCCGGCCGAGACGAGTGTTCGGTACAATAAAGCGGCCACACTGGCCAAAATAGCGGTGGCGGCCAAGACGACGGCCCGGGCGTCTGCGGGGGACGTCGTTGCTCACGCACTGCCCAAAGCCAGGAAAGCGCCCCGAGCGACCGGAGTGGCCGTTCGCTGTAACAACGCGACGAAAGTGGCTCGGGTAGCGGTGGTGGCCAAGTCGGTGGCTCGAACGGCCATCGCGGAGAGCTGCAGCGGTAAGAAGGCAGCGGTGGCGACGACGACGGTCCCGCCTAGACGTCCGTTGGACGATTTCCCGTGCCGCCCGAACCGGCCACTGGTGAACGGGTCCCTTCCGTATCCCTCGCGGCGCGGAGTTCGGCCGGCAGAGCTCGAAAATGCGCGACAGCCGGGGCTGCATTCGAGCGTTCTCCGGCCGCCGGTGGCCAATTCGACGCGTCCGCATGTGTCCGGTGTCGCGCCGAAGACGACTGCGGGCCGACGGCCCTTCAGATGATCGGTCCGCCGTGGAGAACGTGCAATCGGATCCGACGTGCATACGCCTGCAATCCGATTTCAAACACTAACTAGCCGATGGCTCGTCCCCGTGTCCCCCATGAAACCGAATGTAGTAGTTACCTTGCAGATCGGTATTGCGTTCGTAGAATGTACAGGTCTGCCCGGCAAGTGTTCCCCCCAAGAAAACATCTTCGTAATATTTTTTCCGTTTTTATTTATTTTTCCCGAAAAAAAATCACGCTAAATGAATAATATTGGAAATAAAAATAATATACGTTACGATATTTCCATTGGACGAAACACGCTACGCCACCAGTACGTATTATGTATAATACATGGATCTGTACACGACGCACTCGCAGCTGTTGTCGTACGGACGTTTTACGTGAATCTACGTTCATCAGAGCCGATTTTGTGTTGTTAGGTTTAATATTACGGTAAGCTTGACAATTATCGATGAAAATAACGATCTATGCGATGTCCATAGAGTGTTTACTATGCAACTTAAACATGAGCTTTTTCAAAGTGTAATTTTTTACCTTATCAAAATTCTTGTAAAAATACGAAGAATTATTTTCTTTCCTTTGAGTTTGAAAATGTTGGCCTGTTTATTCTAATATTAATGCTAACAGAAAAACATCGGTCCTATTGAACGCTGATTGCTATGCTTTACGTTTTTTAGACAGAGACAGTTTTTGCGGGTGTGGACGTGAGGTATTCTCTGTCTCCGTCTGACATACGTACAACACAGTAATTTTGCGTTCAGTCGTTCAGATGTAGTGGTGTTGGAATTAATATTAAAAAGAACTAACGTATAATAATACTTTAAGGGAAGAACATTGTTTGTGTTTTGTTGGTCGGTTTTTTCAATATTTTAATTTTCTAAGTTAAAGTGTGTAAAATATTAAAATTAAAATTAAATTCATAACTTGCTTAAAAATTAAAATATCAAAAAAAACCATCTAACAAAACATAGC